AAAAAAAACAAAGACAAAGAATATTAATACCAACGCCCCCCCCCCCCCCCCCCCCCCAGAAAAATATAAAAATAAAAACAGAGAGGCAATTTACATAACCTTTCAAGGTGCTGATGGCAAGGCTACCAACAGAACACTTATTCTGAGTCTTGTTGCCTGAAGTCTCACCTTGTCTGTTATAATCATCCTGTTCACGGTGAACCATGTCCTTGTAACCCTTGGTCGTCCCGTACAGTAACCTGTCAACAACCAAGGACACATGTTGTCAGTTGTGTTCCTATAATAAAGGATAGTCCTTCTGAATGAATCCAGTGAAAGTCACTGTGCAGCTTTGTTTTGTCCTTTTGTTGGGTTCAGGTACACAATCAGTTACATTTACCATTCGGCATCAAACAGGACAGGGTGTGTGGTTGTAAAACAATACAGTAAACACAAGGCCGAGTCTGATTTGTCTCTACAGAGAGTGCTAATCATCAATAACAGTTTGTATGGAAGGTAATAAGGAACACATATAAAGATAAGGAGCAGAATTAAAATGTTAACTTCAAATTAACATCATCTTCAAAACACATCATTTTAGTCGATTTATTTTTCAAGAATCCAAGGAAGTGGCATACACATTCGTTTTGTCTGTCTGCTGTTGTGATGTATAAAGCATGTGCTCCACTGAGTTCTGCTGGATAATCAAGGGTTGTTGTTAAAACATAGCACTCTGGTAAGATTGATTTTCATTCACTGAGAATAAAGCACATCTAATGTGGCTCAATCCTTGTCTGCTGTCTGCAATGGTCTGTTCAATATAGTAAACAGACATGGAAATGTAAAAACCTCAGTAGGAGTAATTGTTTCGATCCTCCCTTGTGAAAAAAAACTGAAGCTATCAGCTCTCCTCTGGAATTTTCAGAAGAGATGTGACTCTACCAAACCATCTGTGGCTCAAATCATACTTGTAAATATGTGTTTTAGTCTCAAGAGAAGACGTTTGTGTTTTACTGGGGGTGGGCAATATGACCATGATGCAGTGGTGGTATTATATCAAGGTATTACCAATATCAAAACATGATTCTACCTCTTTTCACTCTATTGGCAAAGTAAGGGGACATGTCCTTAAGAGTGAAAAACATATATTATATACATATATATACAGTATATATATATATATATATAAAGCACGGATGTGTTTATTGAATGAAAATGTGGTATAGGCCTGCATCAGAGTGAGGTTCGGGCCACATATTTCGGTCTGAACCCAACCTGAGTCCCAGAGAGTAGTAACCGAGCCCGACCCGAACCAGACAGCCATTCTGTTTTCTACTATGTCCGAACTGAGACAGCCCCGACGCACTCCGAGCACCAGAGCGCACTCCCAGTTCTAACCTGGTCTGGTCTTGGTGCTGGTCGAAGGCCTTGAGTGTTTCACTGGAGGAGTAGGACTTCTGAGTGGGGACACGAAGTCCCTGGGAGCCGATAGCACAGTCTTCACTGTCCCCTGATGAACCTAGAAGACATAGATACACACCCATGAGCAGACACACACATATATAGGCACAAAATCACACATGCACTTAAAAGCAAACACCTAAACATCCTCAAAAACATTGTGAAGACATTGCTGCCCAGCCTCTAGACTGTGGCTGGGTTATATTATTTACAATTTCCTTTTCTGTTCAATGTATACTCATAGACATATACATCCAGTGTTAAGAAGCGCTAAGGGGGAACACATGTCACTCATGTTGAGTTTACTGTGCACTATAATTATTTGGGTTTCAGAATGTTTTGGAGCAATATATCAATACAGCCACAGTCATTATTCACTGATTTTCCCAGTGTCTATGCGAGCAGGTACATGCTCTTCTGATGTCTGAACTTTTTATTTATAACAGCAGATGATTTATTTGTGGAGGAGACAGTTTCCACTGGCTGCAAGTAAGATGATTCTCACCTCCTTCATCTGGTCTGCAACACAAAATATAATTCTGTCCGAAGTGCAGTGAAAGCCTGAAAGCCAATATTCTGTGGCTCCTGGGGATCAGCTCCAAAGCTGCAGGTTGCTCTATGGAGGACTGCTTTCTCAGCAGCTGGACTAAGTAGAGCCTCGGGCCAGCTGGAGAAATCACCCAGAACCTTTCTCATGTACTACACACGGAATATCTACTTCTGCCTTCTGGGAAGCACTGCTAGGAATTCACATGTATTTGTTGGCCCCATAACTTTCTCAACACATAACCCCCCCACACCGCCCCTTCACACATACTTGACAATGATCTACATGGTGCTTGCAGTGTTGATTTTCTATAGAATGTGTTTTCCTTTTGAAACAATCGTTAGTCTAATTTCCGTAGTTTTGGTCACGTCCTCTGTCAGAGTGATGTAGCAAGAAATGACACTTTGGACCATCAGGCAGGTTGAAAAAAAAAA